AGCTTAGAAGTCCAGTTTCTTGGTTCCCACCCAGGTTCTCATTGAATAGATTTGGGGTACAGCCTGGGCCTCAGGATTTTTTCAAAGCTCCCCAGGGGATTTTCAGGTGCATCCAAGGTTGATAACTGCACTTCAAAGGATCCTGTTGAAATGCCCACGTAGTCCTTTCTCCTGGGTGGGAGGTGAGGAGTGGGAGGTATGTGTAGTTTGACAGAGCTCCCAAGTGGTCTATTGTACCAACTGAACACTGCACCGCCTTGGAGAACCTGACCTTAAACTACCAGCCTCATGAAATATCCTTGAGAGGGCTTTCCGTGGACTGAATATTCACTCAATGTGATTTGTTTTAAAGGTTGCTTTTAATGCTATATTTGTGCAGCAAATGTAGACACTCATATAGCACAAATATTAACTCCTAAATTCTCAAAGGCTTTCCCCACAATATGCCATCTGGCAAGCATTATTGTAATAATCTCTTTATTAACCACACTAACGAAGGACTAGCATGGCATTGGTAATTGAAAAACACAGATCATTTAAAAATCATTCAGGCTAGTGCTAGCCCTGCTTCCTAACCAGGAAGCATTCAGGAGTAGAAAATATTGGCTGATGACAGTTTCCTACTTTCCCTGAGGAGTGTAGTAGAGGTATTAATACATCTTATTTTAGTCAGAAATTTGAGCAATAGAAGAAATGAGAGGGTTCTAAATTAAAATTACTTTTTTTTTTCTGTATCAAGGAGTCTGTTTTCTCAATGAGAAGCCCAAAGCCCAAAGCAGACAAACAGTGAATATATTTAAAATGCATTTGTCCATTGGAACCAGTGGATTCACAGTGTGCTTTAGCAGAAGTGGCACGGGATTTGAGGAAGCAGTGGGTCTGGATTCTAGATCTTATTCTGCTATTGCTTGTGTTATTTGAAATGAGCCTTTCAGCCACCAGTGGGGCTCCAAGTATGGTCCCCATCCAGCAGCATCAGCATCACTTGGGAATTAGGTGGAGATTCAGAGTCTCAGAGCCATTACAACCTTTCTGAATCAGAGACTATGGGGTGAGACCAGGACATGGTGTTTTAACAAGCACTCTGGGAGATTTAAATGGCTGCTCTGGTTCGAGCATCATCGCTCTCTACCAGTGTACTGTTTTCTCATCTATTAAGTAAGGCTGCCAGCCTAGCTAATATCGGAAGGCCATTCCAGCTGTCCAGTGGGCTTGGTGTATGGCCTAGAACAGGTTGTAAGTGTTCTCCATCTCGGGCCTTGAGTCTTTCCTTGGATGTGTGATTAACTCAGCTAAAAAGCTAGCATGTGGGCAACAGAAGAGAAACAGTTCTCTGGGAACTCTATACCCAAACACTCCCCAGAATGTTCAGTATAAAATAAACTGTACTTTCTTCAATGGCTTGGTACCATTTTTCCCAAAGTGATAAAGCCCGGTGCTTTGGAAGGGGAGGCAGACTCTACCCCCTTCTCTGGGGGCCCAGAGCTGTCTGATGTGATGCACGGAGTGGCGCTTCTACGGGCACTAACAAATGGCATCTCAGAAGGATGTGCAGGGGTACACGGGCTTTGCAGTAAAACAAGGGAAAATTTCAAGCTATTTATCAAAGCTCTTGTAGCTTCCATTTCAAGACAGGTGGAAAAAAATAACATGGAACAAGAAAAGAAAATAAATCTGTATCCAGAGAATCTCATAAATAAGAAAAGAGTAGGGAAGCTGTTGGCCTTGCTGGATTCTCAGAGTATTTTTGTCACGGTAAAGAAAGCTTTCAAATGTTTTGGCATGTAATTCATATACTTTTTTTCATTATCAAAATCTGCGGTTGTAAAATCGTTTCACTGGCTATTAAAATCAAAAGAGAAAAAGGGAACAAGCATTTCAAGGAGAGGGAGACCGGGAAAATGGTACCTGAATTTAAAAGAGAAGGAGAGGGAGAGAGCAAGAGAGCACATAGTTCCCCCACAAATACAAAATAATTTTTTTTATCTAAAAAGCAGTGATGCTTTATAATTTAAGACAAGTCATAGGAAATCAAAGACTATTTTCTAATTGGCTTCTGTTCAGTGAGAGCCTGTTTGTTAGAGACAATAGGGCATGGTTTATTGAACACAAGAGTGCCTTGGGTCTGTTATGTCTGGGAGATGGAGAAATTACAGCTTTTATTAAAAGGGATGGATCGCAGGCCCACATTGCCGGAGCAGATGACGTTGGTTGAGCAGAACCACAGCTGACGAGGGCCTGCCTTGGTCATCTTTGGGAAATTCCCAGCAGTGTCCAGGTGACCAATGAACTCAGCACTAAAATCCTGGTCAAAAGCCCGAGCTCTGAGTTCAGATTCGGACTCTGCCTCATCCTGACTCTGCAACTCTAGGCAAGCTCCCCAGCTACCAGCCCGGTTCCTTGTCTTTTGGAGCAAGATAATAACAGAACCTACATAGTGGGAGTTTTATGAGGATTAAACGTTGGCTTATGCAAGGCACTTTATAAAATGCCTGACGAGGAGCAGGCCTTATTGTATCTGGACTATTTGCCAAAGAGCTGTCTGTCTCTTTAAAAGAATCCTAAAAATAAATCACGTGATTTCTTAACCGTGAGACCTCCTTGAGAGCAGCAGCACCCTATTTGATGCCCTCCGTGTGTGCCCAAGGAAGGGGATGACTGATAAGAGGCTCCGCGTGGATCCCGGGAGCCCAGTGGGCACAAGACAGATGACTCTTGAGCCGTGGGGACCTGCTGCCTGGTCAGCTTCCCTGACAGAACTCTGTGGGGTTATTCGAACTGGATTCGGAAGAACTAATTTTTGTCATTTGATTTCCTTTTGGTGTGTCTATTTTGGGAATGGACTCAGGCCAATGCTAGAAATAGGTCTGAAGTAAATGTCATGTTTTTCTTGCTTACATCTGGCACACTCTCCTTTGTTGGCTGGGCTGTGTTCGTAGCAGCTAATATTGATTAGCCTGGATTTTTCTCAAATACACTTTTCTCAGGCTATGTGAAGTCTGCGTGCTAGCAGTACCAAAATAAATGCATTTGACTGATAAGCCGGGGGTAGGGAACAAAGTAGGAACAAAAGCATGCTGAGACATATTGTCCAAACAAGCCATTGCCTGCTCTGCCAAATCCAAGCTGGGAGGCCCCAGGCGAGCTTCTTGTCTCATCTGAGTGGCAGTTTCCCATCCATAAAAGCGGGGACAATAGCAATAATGTCCAGCGCCTCATTATTATTAGAGAATGCGTGTAAAGCACCAGCTCGTGCCGGCCCTCAGGAAGTACTCAGTAAATACCAACTTGTAAAATGTGACTTTAAAATGTTAAAATGTAGCATATCAAAGACAAAATAATAAATTTAGGTATAATGGAGGAATTCCACTCTTTTCTTCTAAAGAACTAAAGCTGTCCTGAAACCTTTCTTTACAAGTTAACTTTTTAGACAGAATCTCTGGTCATTTATTTCCAGCCTTTTGATCCCCTTGTTCTTGAATACAAGCCTGACCCTCTTACTCCAGTGAGTATCAGATGAAGGCTGAACCCCACTACATTTGATCTGCCCAGTGATTTTCATTTTTGTTATAATTAGATTTATTTTAGGAGATATATCTTTCTTATCCTAACTTGGGTTAGGAAAAAGATCTTGCCAATATCTTTTTTTTAAAAGATCTTATTTATTTATTGGAGAGAGAGAGAGATAGCACAAGCATGGGGAGCATTAGGCAGAGGGAGCAGCAGGCTCCCCTGCTGAGCAGGGAGCCCTATAGAGGGCCTGATCCCAGGACCCCAGGGTCATGACTGGAGCCAAAGGCAGACACTTAACTGACTGAGCCACCCAGGTGCCCCAAATCTTTCCAACATCTTAAATTAATCAGAACAAAGTGCTAAAATAAAATATTGAAGTCACTGCACTGACCCAACTTGATATAGAGAGATGGACAGAGAAGCTCTCAAAACTGAAATGGGCCAATAGTCCTATAATTTTAGATGTCCTTTATTATCTCATAATTTCTTTTTCAAAGCAGAATGGAAAAGACAGTTTAAGTACTCTTCAATAATGTAGAAAAGTGTCAGTTGTTTGAACCTTGAACAAGTGAACAAGAAGGCCTCCCTGTACTTGAATTAGAAAAAATTGCAGCAAACCCAAATTTCCCTGGTAAATCAGAGATTCGGCCTTTTTATTAAGACATATTCAGGAACAAAACAAAAATAACGTAGTTGCATACAAATTACCTGGGTTATGAGGCAAAAGCGGTTTTCTTTATTATCTATTTCTTTAACGTTTCTTTTTCATCTCTTTAACAGAAAAAAAAAGACTTTCCTTAAATCATTTACCATTTAGACTTGAATTTTTGGGACAGATCTTGGTGATCATTTTTAATGGTTTATGGTGGAGAGTGGTTTGCAGCTCTGAGCAGCCATCTTGCGGTTTTAATGAATGATCTTGAACATATGGAGAATTTGCTGGGCTTGTTTGTAGCTATTATTTTGTCTCTGTGGCTCTCGGCCCTGTGTGTAGTGACCCCAGAGCCAGAACACTGCCTGGCAGCAGGCTGATGTCAGGACCGTGTAGACTCCTGAATTGTATCAAGTGTCTGCCTCGCAGGCCTGCAGATGGTGTAAGCCTGGACAGGTCAGGAAGTCCATGGGCAGGCCCGGCTGTACTTAGCCCCGACCCATGAGGATGAGGAAGCTAAAGTGCAGAAGGATGAATGCCAGAGATGTGGCCTCATCCCAGGTCTTCCGCCGCAAATGCTGTTGGTTCTACCAACCGCACAGATCCCTGAAGGGCAGTTTTTACATTATTTTCTTTTCCTCACAGGGCCCTATGTCCATGAATAATCCTATATTTCACTCTTCAGTTGAGTTTCCTAACCCTGGATAGGAAATCTGCACCTGTAGAAAGAAGCCCCCACCCCAGAAGGTTCACATGAAGAGAGAAAATCATGCTCCTTGATTATTTGGAGCTGGAGAGAGAATTAACCTGATCAAACATTTTGTTTTCCTCACAGAATCATGTCAACCCCGCCATGGACTTCACCCAGACGCCCCCTGGGATGTTAGCCCTGGACAACATGCTGTACTTCGCCAAGCACCACCAGGATGCCTACATCCGGGTAAGCATGAAGTGTCTCGAAGCTGGTGTATGTTTCCTACTGAATTTGAATTTCTAACTTGCAGATATGGAGGTATTACTCTGAGATGAATGGCTCCAGAGTTGTGACTTTCCCCATTCTGTAAAATAAATGTCAAAATTAAATCAAGAGGGACACTTGAAATTAAGATTTTTGACTTAAATTTTCTCATGTGATGACATTAAAAAAAACACAACAGATACCAGAAAATGTCTTATCTATAGTTGAATAGTGGATTATGACAAAAACTCTCAGACTTAAATAGCAAGGAAGGAGAATGAACTCTCCACCCCAAACCTGCACAATCCCAGCGTTAGTGGAGACCCCTAAGGCTTATTCCACTTGGTAGAAAAGAGACCGAGGGTTCTCTCTGGTTCTCCTTCTGTTCAGTCCAATGCCAGAGACATGATAAGATAAAACACAAAGAGAAAAATGGGAGAGATGGGGAGGAAAGAGAAATGCCTTTTCTCATAATTTGTAGCAAACTAGTGAAACTCCCACTCTGGAGAGAGAGACAGACTCCTTTGTGGGCGGGGCAGAAGGAAACCAGAAGGAAGGCGCCCCCTGCTGAGTGGGCAAGACAGGTGTGGGAAGGACCAAGTGTGAACTCCCAGGAGCCTAGGGAGGGTGACGTAGGGCTGCTCCACTGGAGGCCCTGGATTTGTGCTGACTCCTACCTTGTCTTCAAGGAGAGGGGCCCAGATTCAGTCGGGTTGAGGTATATCATCCAAGATTGAAATGGAGGAGGATATGAATAAATGGACAAGGGAATTGTGAGTGGTTGAAATGACTAGCCCTCAGCTTAGAAAATACTTGATGAACAAATTGCCTAATGCAGCAAGAGTAAGGCTCAGACTAGAAGATGAGTCTATTACACTGACGTTCTCTGTTAGATCCCCCTTGGCGGCACTGGCTTTCTGGAGACCAGGGTTCAAGACCTGGCACCATCGTGGTCTAGTGATGTAAATGGGAGCAGTTCCTTTTGTCTAGGCTAAAGTTTCCTCTCCAAACAAGGAAGCAGTACTTCCCTAGGAGGCATTTGGAAATGTGTGGGTAGGTTTTGTTGTCGCCATGCCAGTGGGGTACCTGGCCAAAGCCTAGAATTATGGGACACTCTGCACATGAAAGATTGTTCTACCCAGCAGTGGCCCCTTGAAAAAAGTCATGCCAGATTTCTGAGTTCCTTGTAGGCACTATATTTTAACTTTATGTGTTTTTCTATATATGCGGTTTGACAAGCTTTGATTTATACTGAAATGTTATTTATAATTTGATTATGTAAAGGATTTTATGCATTCCTGCAGACAGTTGGGGATCAGGTGCTTGGTCAGAAATGCAGTCTTTCATAAGAAAATTATTTTTTCATGAGAGTTTAATTTGGCTTATATGCACGTATATTTATTGCACAGATTTTTTTTTCTAGGAATACAATCTGCTCTCACAGTAAGTAAATTAATATTGTTGAGATACCTTATCGTATATAGCCTTGGAGGGTTGAGTGTGAAAAGAAGAAGCCAAATAGAAATTGAATTTAGCACTAACTGATTAATGTTTGTGGATGAAAGTTTCTAAAATTAGAGCTTATTGATGCTGAATATATTGTTAATTATATAAGAAGCATATGTCTCATGAAAAGTAATTTAACATTTGGAACCCATTTTCCTCAATGCATTCTCTAAACTGTCATAAGTAAATTAATACATGGCCACCTGAAAGAGCTTGACTTCTGATAGAAACTTGAAAAAAAAAAACCATTTATAGGGACACCTGGGTGGCTCAGTCAGTTAAGCTGCTGCCTTCTGCTCAGGTCATGATCCTAGGGTCCTGGGATTGAGTCCCGCATTGGGTTCCTTGCTCAGCAGGGAGCCTGCTTCTCTCTCTGACTCTGCCTGCTTGTGCTCTCTCTCTCTCAGAAATAAACAAATAAAATCTTAAAAAAAAAACTATTTGTAAAGAAAAATGTGGCCCTTTTTGTCCACCTGCCGTTTTCTTTTTTATTATTTTTTTTCACATGCCCTTTTCTTTGCTGATTAGATAGTATCTATATGTAAGCCTGTCTATATCTCTGCATCTATAACTGAAATGTCTGTTATTTTCTCAAAAGTGTCAGTTTCCTGAGGTTTTCTGTGTCCCATCTGACTTTAGGGCATTAACTCCTGGATGGAAAGCCAAAGCTATTTACATGAACAATTGGGGTTAGGGGACCACATATAAAGTCTGAGGCTTTCTGTGAGGAAGTTTTGGGATGACTCTGGAAACAGTTATCCCAGTAATAGTGAAATGGTACAGACGGTGGAAACCGTCATCTCAGACAGCTAATTACATTTTGAACTATGAGCTGAGTGGTCTCTTCTGAAACATATAAAGTTGGGTTCCTTTTTAGAATAAGTTTATATTGATGAAATTTGCTTTGTTTTTGACCAGATAAATTTCCTGACTGAATGTAGTTATTCATTACTTATATCTTTCATTCAATAAATGCTTATTCTGTACCTGAATATGGTCTCACCTGTCACTTTGCCAGTCACAGTACAGTTGAGATCTTTAAAAGGAATTGTAACACACACATACACACTTGCACACAGGCACACACACAGATATTTCCTCTTTGCCCCGACACCCCCTTCCAGCTATCCTCTTCCTTCAATCACCGTGTATTTGTACTTTTCCGAATTGTCTTCTTGCCCTATGTTCATTAACCTGCCACTCACTTTTCAATACCCCGTACCAAGGCTTCCACTCATCACTTTCCAGAAGCTGTTCTCCTGCCAAAAGGAGTATAGCACCCCGCCCAACCCCCTACTCCCCACCTTTGTCTCAACTGCCTTTCCATTGACATTGGATACAATTTGCCACTGACCAGTTTTTTTGTTTGTTTTTTTGTCTTTTGGTTTGTTTTTTGTTTTGCCTGAAGCCAGTCCTATCTGTCTTGGTTCTCTTTTTGTCCATTTCTTAGTCTCCCTGGGGACTTTCTCTCCTTCTGCCTGTCCTTCTAATGCACACCATCCCAAGGATTCCACTGTAGACCTTGTCTCTTCTCAGTGCCTCAGGCTGCACATGTTTTCTGAGTCACTATCAGATGCCCAGCAGGGAGCTAGGTGATGGCGATTCCCCAAGGATGAAGTCACTCGTGAGTCCTGTCCTTGAGGAGTTCACTGTCTGAAGATGGAAAGGAGGGGTGAAGAGATAAATACCAGGCACTTTCCAAGCCACTTGGAATGTATTTTGATTGGGTGGTGGTGGCGCAGGGAAGACACTGGGGACACAAGGGAGAGTCAGGTCTGGAAAATTTCCTGGGGGAAGTGGCATCTACAGTAAGACCTACTGGATAATGCTAGACAATCTGGTGAAGGGAAGGGGATGTGGGAAAGTAATCCAGGTGGAGGGAGACATGCAAACAAGTGTATAAAGGTGTGTGCCTTTTTTTAGGGAACGAAAAATCGTATAGTGTGGCCAAAACAGGGAGTGCTGAATATGATCTTGGCTTGAGGCAGATGTGGGCTGGTTCATTAGGGACCCTAGAGGACCTGTGAAGCTGTTTGTTTGGACTTTAACCTCAAGGCATTGAAGAATTTTGGAAGTGTTTTAAGTAAAGATGATGGGAGTTAATTTTAGAAAAATCACTTTCCTGCCAGAAAACAAATGTGAAAAATCAAGATGAGACAAAAATAAAAATTGGGGAACTTAAGGAGAAATGGAACTAAGGTAGTGTTTAGGGCACTGGGGAGAAGCAGTTTGAGTGAATTATCTTGGAACTGAAATAAACTGGGCTCTCTCTGAGGAAGAGGGAGACGACTGGCTTGCGTGAATACAGGATGGTCATGTCATTAATGAGACAAAGTGTGTGTCTGTGAGGGGCTAGTCATTTGGCGACATCCACAGCCTTATATGCACGTGGGACCGCTGTCCGGTGGATGTACATGTCTAGTAGGCGGTGAGATGTGAGCAGCAGAGTTCAAACCCAGGTAAACCCCACATTCGGTAAATTCTATGTCCTTAACCTTCATCCTTACCTTTAATCTGTTCATGTAGATTATTGCCGTTTTGTCTTACTGGCCTCCCTGCTGAAGTCTAGTATCTTCCTAGCCACCTTCCATGCCAGCTTCTAGGATGATCTTTCTAAACAGAGTTCAGAACCCTTTGGGAACTACCCCTGGCCCATAAGCCTCCCTCTTGTGGTACCTGGCATATCGTAGATTTTAATAATTCCTTGTTAATTGATTAGAGACTTTCTTTAGTTTTTATTTAAATGGCCTCTTGCCAAGGATTAATTCCTATCATTTTTCCTTTTAACAACTACATAAAGGTATATATTTTTTGCAACATGAGTTTATTAACCAGCAGCCTTTTCTTATGTGTTATTTAAATGTACTCTGTAACTGGGTAGTAATGAAAGCACTGGATGTAATTGAATTACCCCACACATGGACAGACCCAGAACACAAGGAAGAATTGCAAATCTGAGCATCCCACTATGCCTGGAGTAAAATCTGGAGGCATAGCATGATTTGAGACTTCTGGGTCTTATTTACTCTGGGCATAATTGCTTTCATTTTTTCTGGAAATGCTTCTCTCCCCAGCTCTCCACACCAAAGCTCTCTCTGTGAGAGGTGGAGGGTGGCACTTGGCTCGTTCCCTTGAGCCTGCTGTCATTATTTCACAGGCAGGATAATGGTACAGAGCTGAGTGTGTTACATGTTTTGTTTTTGTTTGCTTTTTTTGTTTTGCTCTTTTTCCCTCTCCCTGGAGTGGCAACTCTTTAATACGTTGGAAAAAAGAAGATTAGCGACTCCACTGGAAATAAAACCTTTGGACTAATAACGTGTATTCTTGTTGTATTTAATTATTCATTGGGAGCTGCTGAAAAACCCGAAATGACTTGGTTTTACATTTGGTTCAAGAGTCATGCTGGCTGTTGTGGGAGTCAGGATTGAGCCACAAAGCAGAAAGTAATAACGTGGAAATCTCTGGTCTCCAAAATG